CTTAAGTAATTTATTGATCATTCCTTTATGTGTGTCATTGATATAAATCAAAAGGAGCAAAGGCCCTAAGACTAAAGCCTGAGGTACCCCACTTGTAACATTAATCCAGTCTGACTGAACTCCATTTATAACAACTCTTTGCTTTCTTTCATCCAGCCACTCTTCTATCCAATTTGCTAACTTATCCCCCACACCTATAAAAATAATATTTTTACAAGCCTTTTATGTGGCACCTTGTCAAATGCTTTCTAAAAATCCAGAGACACCAAATCTACAACATTACTCTCATTTAAATAAGCAGTAACCTTTTCCAAGAATGTCAAAATATTTGTAAGGCACGATTTCCCTTAGTGAAACCATGTTGACTATCCAATAAATTCTAAACTTTGTGAAATGGCTTTGTGACTTTCCGAAACTTTTCCCATAACTGATGTAAGACCAATGGGCCAATAATTACTGGAACAATTTGTATCACCCCCCCCCCCTTGAAAATAGGAGTAACATTAGCTAACTTACCAATCCTCTGGTACCTTTCAACTATCCAAGGACTTCCAAAAAAAACAGTAGCAAGTGGCTGCCATATCCAATCCTTAACCTCCTTCAAAACCCTTGGGGGAATATTATCTGGTTCAGAAGCCTTATCGTTCTTCACACTTCTAATTTTTTCTTAACAAGCCAGAATTAATGCCGCCATCTTGTTCGATCTTGTTTTCATTTATCAAATGTTCAAGATGTGGAATACTGCTTAAATCTTTTTTAGTAAAAACCAAAGAAAAAAGCAGAACTTAATAAGCCAGCCATCTTATAATACGAGCCTTTCTTTATCATCCTTCAAGCGTTCTACTCCGATCATAATATTTCATTTTCCATTAATATATTTAAAGGAACCCCTACTGTTAATTTTTACATTTACAGCCAACCAGTTCTCATACACCCATTTTGATGTCCTAATTTTCTGTTTGACCAACGTTCTTGTTCTTTTATAATCTTCTAAATCTCCTGTCATACCAGTCAATTTAAATTTCTTAAATTTATGATGCTTTTCTTTAATTTTATCTCTTATACACTTTGTGATTCAACCTGTTTTTTTTACTTGCAGCCACCCCTTTCTTTGTGTGTAGTTCATTACTTTTCTTCTGACGTTGAATAAATGAACCATCGACAAGTTTATGCTATGATGCATACTCCTTTTAAGGATTTTTGTTATATATCTCCGTTTTCGTTTACGATTGAAAATGACATGTTTATATATGCCCCAAACAATATTTGTGCCAATTTTTATGCTCTTGTCCGTCGTGTAATGACTTATCCTCTAAGAGACCATTCATAGCGAAGAAGACAACTTAACAACTTTAAAGGCTAGATGCGAGTACTGAATTGTAAAATATGTTTCAAAACGTTTGTTGTTATTATGTATCAAGAGATTGCCGTTGCATTACAAAATGAACAGCTTGTTTAGACATAGCTTTGGACATTTCAGCTTTAAATGTATAACAAAGATTATCGCCTGAGATTTTACTAAAATGCTGCTACCTACCTTTGCTGTATTTCCAACGAATCACAGGATTGGGCTGACCACTTGCTTGGCACTCCAGCCTTACCATTTGCCCTAATACAGTAGAAGTTCCTATGGGTTTTAATCTCCAGCGGGGAGATGCTAAAATAGTTTGTATGAGCAAAATTGAATATTATTATACTAGGAAAAGTAAACAAAAATTGTTATTCAACTTACATAACATAGTTCATTTTTCGTAACACATAAAAAGTACCTATACAAGATAACTTTAAAGCATATCCATTAAAAAGTTTGTTTCTTATGGATTTCGCGCAAAACTACACAAGGACTATCTGCGCTAGCCGTCCATAATTTAGCAGTGT